CCCCAAAACCCCAAAACCCCAAAACCCCACATTTCAATTTTGAGTTGTAATTTGGTATAAATGTGATTTAAATATATAAATAATTCAAATTTAAATGTCTGAAACTTAAGACGATCAGATAGCTCAAAGTTCGAGTAATCTAGATAAAAATCTTGAAGAGGAGAAAAGTGATAAATTCAACATTGCTAGTCAGCCCCTTTAATAAAATAATGGCTCGAGTGATGCCTTTTTAGAAAAATCTTCATTCAAGGGGATATTTAGCTTGAAGAGTAAAAGTCAAATCGCCAAAGAGAGGTTTAATCAAAAAGCTCAAGACTACCTTGAATCTCATAAGATGTCAATATACTTATAGGATGCCATTAAGATCATTCTAGATCGTAGAGAGGATAAACCTTTAGATCTACTGAATGAATAGTAAACTATTATTCAAATTAATTTTGCATAGTTTTAACACAACACTCAAGGGAGAACATATTTTATTAAGAGAATATGCGTTTGTCAGTGCAACTCCTTTAAATAGAAAATGCTTTTTGTAATAAGTTAAAAAGGTTTTTCATTCAACTCCTTTCTACAAGGTGATTACTGCTTTGGATTATCATTAAATGCTTTGCCTAGTTTGCAGTGATTTTCCAAGAGCCCTCATGATTGATACAGTAAAGACCCTTCCAATAGCTGGCGCAACTAGCTTCGATCAAATTTCAAGTAAATAAGGGGTAAAATATCAATCCTTTGTAATTAATGCATCTTATAGTAAGACCTATTGTTTGAATAATATGATCTTGACAAACTATAAGCGGCTGTTTGCATATATTTCTATTATAATGAATTCATGGAAAATGCTAAATAACTATTTCAAGAATCACAATCATCTTCTTCATTGAATATTCATGAATAATGCTCATTATATCTGATATACAACTCTATTAGCAATTTAGTCTAGAGATTGAGACAGCAAGCATATCCGTAAATATATCATTTATTAATCATATTCATATAGATTGCCGCCGATTGAAGCAATTCTAGAAGTCCTAATAACAAAGACTAAGGCAGAAGACAAATTAAAAGATGAACCACTTATCTTGAGTACTGATGCAGTAAATTATCTCTCTGGAAATACTATTTCATTTTTGGAATTCAATCAAGTAATAATTCTAGGTATTTTATTATTTTGTAATAGGGGATGATAAGATCAAGGACTTTGATTAACGATCTTTATGAGCCAGTTTTCAACAAGAGAATCTTTTAAGTGTATGATCAACTAAAGGAAATTGCCTCAGAATAGACTTCTGCTAGCGTCAAAGAGCAGATTAAGAGAGCCAAGACAAAGAAGAAGGGAGCAAAGTGAGATTTTTGGAATTAATTCTAGTTGAGAGTTATTATAGTCAATTTATATTTGAAATTTAAAAATATTCTTTTTCCTCGAATAATCAATATTATTTTGAAGGGGTTTTGGGGTTTTGGGG